TTGTACCTGTGTAGTCCAATGCCAGAAGAGGGCTTCAGATTCCCCGGAACTGGAGTTAAGGACGGTTCGTGGCCGCCATGTGGGTGCTGGGAATCGAACTCGGATCCTCTGCAAGAGCAGTCGGTGCTCTTAACCACTGAGCCATCTCTCCAGCCCCTGGACTAGCTTTTTGACTCCAGAGCCATAGGCTGGAAAGAACCCCAAGAGTCCTAAAACTGCCTAAGTATCCCAGCCTCACCCTCTCACTGGACCCTGATCCCACAGAGAAACTGCGGAAGTCTTGAAAGGGTTGGTGAGCTAAAGTCAGCAATGCTTGAACCATGTCGACATTTTTATGAATTGATTGCAACACTGAAAAGTCAACAAGGTTGGGGGGGTGGGCGTGGGCTGCAAAGATGGCTCAGTGGTTAAGAGCACTGGTTGCTCTTGCAGAAGATACAAGTTTGAATCCCAGAACCCACATGGCACCTAACAGCCATCTATAACTCCAGTTCCAGGGAATGTGACATCCACTTCAGTCCTCCCCAGGTATTGTACAACATGGGTACTTTTACATACATGCAGGCATAACACTCATACACATTAAAAAAAAAAAAGGTCAACAAGGGCTGGAGAATAGCTCAGTGGTTAAGAGCATTTGCTGTCATTGCAGAACACCAGAGTTTAGTTCCCAGAACCCATATGGTGGCTGACAACTATCTGTAATTCCAGTTCCAAGGGACCCGACGCCCTCTTCTGGTTTCCATGGACATTGCATGGATGTGGTGTACGTGCATGCAGGCAAAAGACTCATACATGTAAACTTTTTTAAAGTTAACAAACTGCCAGACATGGTAGTGCACGCCTTTAGTCCCAGCACTCGAGAGGCAGAGGCAAGTGGATCTCCGTGAGTTCAAGGGCAGCATGCTCTACATAGTAAGTTCCAGGATAGCTGGGGCTACAGGGAGACCCTGTCTCAAAAAAAAAAAAAAAAAAATATGTGAACAAACTACAGTGGGCATGGTGTGTGCCTTTAGTCCCAGCCCTCAAGATGCAGCCTGGTCCACATAGTGACTTCCAGGCGGGCTGGGACTAGAGCGACCCCATCAAACACACACACACACACACACACACACACACACACACACACACACACATATACACACACACACACACAATAACAACAATAAAAACAACAAATTGGGCATGCTGGTATGTGCCTGTAGTCCCAGCTATTGAGGAAGCTAAACAGGGGATCACTTGAGCCTAGCAGTTGATGGCCAGCCAGGGCAACATACCCAGACCCTGTCTCAAAAATTAATTAGTGCTGGGGTTCTAGTTCAGTTGGTAGAATGCTTGCCTTGTATGCTTAAAGTCCTGGGTTCACTCCCTAGCACCAAATAAAACTCAGTGTGGTAGTACGTGCCTATGATCCCAGCAGTCAGAAGGTAGAGGCAGAAGGATCAGAAGTTCAAGGTCATCCCCAGCTACATAGTGAATTTGAGGCCAGCATATGACTCTGCCTCAAAAAACAACAGGCATCCAGCAGGATGGGTCAGTCAGCAAAGGCACCATACTGGCACTGTGGCACTCAGACTGGGGCATGTGCTCTCACCTACAAAATAAATAAACACAAAAAATTTAAAACATGGGTCTGGAGAGATGGCTCAGCGGTTAAGAACACTGTTCTTGAAGAAGACCTGGGTTCAAATCCCAGCACCCATATGGCAGCTAATGACTGTAGCTGCCGTAACTCCAGTTCCAGGGGATCCAACAGCCTCTTCTGTCCTCTGCGGGCATTGTATGACACGGGTGCACTTACCTACATGTAGGCAATACATGCATACACATAAAATAAAAATAAA